ATAATTTTTTAGGGTCAAATCACGAGAATTTTATTTATCATAAATATTTTAGTCCGTGAATAGTCTACTATTAATTGGACTGAGGAGTGAATTAGTGGAATGCACGGTTGAAAAAAAAAAAAAAAGGAGGGGGGATTGTCTGCTATTAAACGGACTAAGTAGGTATTAGTGAGTTGTGAGTAAAATGCACGGTTGAAAAAATAAAATAAAAATAAAAATAAAAATAAAGAGGAGGAGGGAGGAGGAGGAGGAGAGAGTTGAGTTCACTTCATTTGACCATTCAAGCACACCCTGAGGTGATGTCTGCTTCTTCGTTTTCACATTCTAGCATTCAACCCGCTCTGCCTTTGGCTCACTCCCCTGTACACATACATCCACGTATATTCAGGTCTGTCGGGGCCATTTTCCTCATCAATAACACTCTTTAAAACCCTATTATTGGAAAAACAAAGCAACAAACCGAAGTATAAGCAGAGTACCCTCTGAGCATTTTCAGCACTTTTGCTTTAACATCACATCGGTGAGTTCAACGATCCAATTCCATACCCTTTTTTATTTTTAGGTTCTTTGTTTGGCTGCCGAGAATATGTGGGAAAAAAGCTAAAGAGAAATAAATATCAATACTCAGTTTAATCTCAGTGATAATCACGGAGATAAGAATTTAAAAGAATCAATTTTTAAGTTTTGACTTTCTCTCCCTAGAAATGATTTGGGTATTTGAAGTTTCAACATTAAAAGCCTTAACTGGGTTTTGATCTTCATGTAGGCCAGATCCAGATTTTCTATTTTCTCTAACTTTTCTGTTGTTTTCCATTCTTTCCTTGGTGGCCAAACAGGGTACGATTCATTTATCATTATTTTAGATTTGATTTTGCTTATAGGTTGTGGATTTAGATTTGTAATCATGGCGAGAAAGATGCTAATTGATGGGGAGGTAGGCAATTCTACTGAAGAAGAGGCTCACTATGACTTTGATTTGTTTGTGATTGGGGCTGGAAGTGGAGGTGTCCGGGCTGCTCGTTTTTCCTCTCAGTATGGAGCTAAGAAGGTATAGACTCACATCTAATCTATATTTTATGTACCTCGGGATCATGGCTCAGAGTTTTGTTTCCATGACATGTTTTGTTTAGCCAAAAAAATGGATACGTTTCAAAAACAATACTGAAACATTCTGTATTTTGAAAACTAGTGGAATGGTACAGCACCCCTTCCAGCTTCTTTCTTGAAGTAGAGAATGATTTTACTTTTACTGGGGACATATTTATTGTATCAACCTTTCTAATCTAAGGTAGGCTTGGGCTCAAAAGCAGGAAGCTACAGACTAAGACACCTGCTTTCACAAGTCTTCGAGCTTTGTCATCTTGGTGAAAACAAATGCCTTTAGATTTGCTTGATCGAAATTATGTACATCGCTTATGACCTTCTGTTGTATATTGACCTTCCCCCTAGTCTCCAAAGCTGAGAAGCACGGACATAGATACGACCCGACAACATTTCTCAAAAAAGTAGGATAAAGACATGATGGAGATACGTTACAAAAAATTATATTTTATATATAACATTATTATAATTTATCGCAAATATAGTGATAATGATATACAATTCATAAAAGATTCAATATTTTATGATAAGTAAATTTTATGTATAATCATCTGTATAAATTTTTAGGCTAAAACATTATTATAATAATCAATAGTCATCAAAATTTTTTTGTAGACAATGTGTACCTAATATATAATTTAAATAATTTATTTCATTTTTTCAATTTCTCTTTTTTTAAACTTTTATGCTTCTTTTATTTTTATTATTATATTTGGACTACAATTTTAACATGTTTAGTATTAGTAATTTTATATTATCTAAATTTTAAACTTTGTTAATCACATTTCAACACATATTTATTGTTTAATAGTAAAAACGTTCTAAAGAAGTGTCGGATACATCACCAAAGAAGTGTCAGACATGTCATTAAAGAAGTGTCGGACACGTGTCCGAGAGTGTTTGAAGAGTGTCGGTGTCCAACAAGGATATGTCACCTTCTTGAGAGTGTCCGTGTTTCATAGCTCCAAAGCTTCTTTCCCTTCATTAGTAAAGCTTGAAACACTCCAAATCACCAGACATTGGGTTGCCTAGCCTCTCCGCGGTCTTCGATAGTTAAAAGATTCATAGCAAGGAAAGTTTGCTTGGACTTGTATAGGATAGGATTGCGTGGTCCTTTTGCTGAGTCATTTAGGCTGAATTTACCACACCCCCAACCCCTATGTTAGGCGGTAATCTCTTTCGGCGACTTGGTGCAAAGAGTTAGGCAGGCAGTATGGGCCATCTGACTTCCTGCTCTGTGCTGAATGATCAAAACTTTTACCAGATAACAATTAAAACAATCACCAAAGCATGGCTGAAACAATAAAGCTGGATAAACTACAGTTTCTATTTATTTTACATGGAATTGACTCTATAATAAATAATTCTTATCTTGGTTTATTGAAGGCTAATGAAATTATATAATATTTGTGTGATGTATAAGTTCTAAGATATAGAAAATTTGAAGCTTCTCTTACGGTAAATAATCTACGAAATTGGATGCTCTAATGTTGCTCAAAGCCCATGCATCTAGATTATAGAATCATGTACAGATTCACTATAACTTAATCAAAGAAGGGCAAAAGATGTCTTTGAAGTCATAGTAATAGATTATATATATCTGGTCTTCTTTGTAAAAAAGAATACCAGACTGTAATATTTCTTTCGACGGTTCTAACAAACTGAACTGTTAGTTCAATTTGATTCAAGAGGAGAGGACAGTGGTTACTATGATAGATAGAAAAATATCATAAAATGGTTTGTGTAAAATATCATAAAATGGTTTGTGTTCATAAGATCTTATTGTTACTAATGTTTGACATGTGAAAAGATATTGATCTGCTTAACGGTATATTTTTCATACAGAAACTCATTCTTGATTGCAGTTTTCTTGAACTTCTTGTCTGTCTCAGTTTTTTATTATATCGATTTAACTCCTTGTGAATTTGTACTTATAGTCTCATTCCGTTATCTGACAGCAACATTTGATAATTTGTATTTATAACCATTTTGAAATTGTGCTCTAAGGTTGGGATTTGCGAGCTTCCTTTTCATCCAATCAGTTCAGAAGTCATAGGAGGAGTTGGTGGAACGTATGTTTGTCAGATAATTAGTCTTTTCAGTCGTTGCCTTTGCTACTTTTACCTTTGCATTACTTCTTAAGTTTTTCATCTTTCTTGGTGGCTTTTTTGCGTTTTGATTTAGCTGTCTCAACTTCACCTAAATTGGATTTGTAACATGTATATTCTCCATCTAATGGAACAATACGTTTATATTAAATTTTGAGGTTGAAATGATAACCAATGAAGGTGAAGCATTGCCCCTAACATAGAATTAAGCATGGGCAATATGAATGGCCTGCAATAATCCAGGCCCCACAGGAAGACCCTGTGCTAGCTGTGATGCATGCCACACGTTATCTAGGGAATAGCTTTATTGTATACTGTTTATTAGATTACAGAATGTGGGCATAAAATCAATTTGGATTCCATTCAATTGGAGGTGGGGTTTTCCAATTTTAGGTGGCATTGAAGGTGGATTTTTTTAGTATTTGACAGTGAAATGAAAATCATATGAAAGACGAAATGTAAAGTAAAATTGCTTATGAAAGAGGCGGTTGTGATTATATGACATGTGAGCAAAATCAAACTATGACAAAATCTCAAAGCATTTATCAAATCGTTTAGAAGAAACACGAAACTTATGGACATTGTGCTAACAGTTGTAGGTTAAAGGGGAAAGAATTATGGACGGGGGAAGGTACATGCATGCATGCTGTATGGGGAAAGTGCTGATAATATTGGAATGGAAAAATATTTAGACCTGAGCATTTTCCATTATGGAGCTATTCAGGTTATGTGTGGGTTGCAATTGTAACTTCTTTGGTTCCAAATGTCAGTGAGCATGTGCAAGTGTTCCCTATGTAAAATAATTTTGTTGTTGATTGGTAACTTCAAATAGGCACCCATTATTTATTTTGTGCCCTACATGCCATTGCACAAATTCTAAGGCTTTAGGAGTCTTGAATAATGAGATCTGCTATTGAAGTGCAGTGGTTTTCAATTATTTTACTTTTCAGTTTATTAGACTTTATATCCGTGATGTAATTTTAAATGCTGAAATAGCATATGATCATGATGTTTCTCATGTGGTGCAGATGTGTCATACGTGGTTGTGTTCCTAAAAAGATTTTGGTGTATGGGGCTTCCTTTGGGCCTGAACTTGAGGTAAGATTATGATTTACATCAACACACAACTGACAGATTGTTTGAAAATATCAGTTTTATATTCAGGTCTCTTCTATTTACTGCCAAAGGCTATTTTCTCAATTGAATAAAGTGAAACAATTAGAAAGTATCTGAATGGTCATGGATTGAACTGAACCAAAATGCAGAGAGATAACTTCTTGCAGGGTGGAAGATTAACATTTTCGTTGAGATAGATTAATGATTAAATTTGTTCTTTTGGTCTTAAACTTCTACATTACCTACTTATATTTTAATGTGTCTTATCCTGTCCACCATCATGGCAAAGAAATCTGTGCCCGAACTGAAGACTGAGATTCTGGGATATATCATGTAATGGAACCCATAGAAAATGAAATTACATTCAACCATACGCATCTGGCATTTCTTATTGTTTTACGCGTTTATATGCTAGTTTGAAGCATATGCATCTTTCTGAACTCCCCAAGAGAGGGTGTGTTGTTACCTGTTCACAATCTTTGAGCTTGAATTGATATTCGTTTTTATTTTTTATTTTTCTCTTGCATCTATACTTTAATCTTTCATTTTAACTGTTTGGAAATAGAATGTCATAAACGTTTTTGATTCAGATTCATTTATGATATGGTTTGATCCATCAATGCTTTTCATTTTGTAGGATGCCAGGAATTATGGGTGGGAAGTAAATGAGAAGATTGATTTCAATTGGAAGAAACTTTTGCAAAAGAAGGTTTGTGTCAAATTGTGTGTAGGATTTTGTGCATAGGATCAATGTATTGTCATTCAGATCTCACTAGATTCCTATGTTAGCACCTGTCTGTGGTCACCTTTTTTCATCAGTACCGAGAGAAAATGCAATAACAAAACAACTAGTATTTCGTCTATAATTCTTATGAAAAAAATTAGTAGTTGCAAAACTTGCCCACTGGCTTTGAAAAGAAAATTAAGGAAACCATGACCTACTTGCCTGCTCGGTTTATCTCAATGGTTGGAAATGAACTATCAAATGTTAAAGTTCTGTAAGTTTAATTTTCAATTTTACTTTGAGTGTTTGAGCTCCAATTGAGGGCTAAACTAATTGGATTGCTAACTAAGGCTTGATTTATTTATATCCAAACTCTGACAGTTTTCAGCTTTTAGCTTTTATCATTATCTTAGTTGCCTCATGGAGTTTTTTTCACAGAACATGCCTGTTGGTTATTTATTATACATATTCTGAATAGTTTGAAATACAGTAAAAGTATTATCACTTGTTTTCATGAGTAGGTGAGGTAGAACAGGTTTTGGAGCCTATAATTTCATGACTTTTTTCCTACTTTTATCTTTTCCCAAAATTGCAGACAGAGGAAATAGTCCGGCTAAATGGAATCTACAAGCGATTACTTTCAAATGCAGGGGTTAAACTCTTTGAAGGAGAGGGGAAGGTAGTTGGTCCCAATGACGTAGAAGTGACACAACTGGATGGCACTAAATTGTGCTATTCAGCAAAGCACATATTGATTGCAACTGGCAGTAGGGCTCAACGTCCACCTATTCCTGGACAGGTAGAGTTTCTGATTTCATTCCAATTTTAATTACCGACATAACAAAACTATCATAATTAAAACAATGCCTTGATAATTTAATTGGTTTGCTGTCTATTTGCGGCGTTTTACCTGGGAACATTAGCACATACTTTTTTTGGTTGCAAGTAAAACTTCAATTTTTTTGAACAGAAAGTAGAACTTCAATTGTACTGCATTTTCAACATCTTTGGTCCGGTTAACTAGTCATACTTCCATAGTTTCCTCATTTTCACCATCCTCACTCCTTCTCCATCTCTCCCTCCCCTCCCACCCAAACCACCACTTGTCCTATTTGACACCTCCTATTAATCCGTTACATTTTTTGGGTTGGTATTTCAGGAGTTGGCTATAACTTCTGATGAGGCTTTGAGCTTGGATGAGTTACCCAAGCATGTTGTCATACTTGGTGGAGGGTGTGTGCTTAACTTTTCATCTCTCTGTGATGTTAATTTTGTTCAGCATGGTTGGTTCTTTATATTACTCATTTCTTTTGTGATTTAGGTACATTGCTGTTGAGTTTGCTTCTATATGGCGTGGAATGGGTGCCACAGTGGATCTATGCTTCAGAAAGGAACTTCCATTGAGGTTATAACACTCTTGATTGTATTTGTGTTTTTCTTGGCAAATTACACTAACACCACTTTGTGGTTTATGTTGTTGTTTTTGAAATAATACCAATATCCTCGATTATATTCTTTCCTCCAATGGAGTTAACAGAACATTTTTGTTCCCAATTTTTCCCTTACATGTAAGAAAATTACTTTTCATGAGGCTGATTAACAATTTACCCCTCAAAATGTGCAATGAGTTACACTCTGCCTGCCCCCTCAAAAAGAAAAAACTCTCACTTTACATCTTTGATCTTAAAATCTATTGCAATTTTCCTCTTTGCCAAATAACATTGGGTTTTTTATTGCTGAACACAAAACATGCCAACCACATTGGGTAACAGAGGGCATAATTGTAATTTTACTCGTGTTAATTGTTCTCATTATCTTCTTTTTTTCTGTAATATGTTATAGTTATTTATATCCACCACCTCCAACGTCCCTTGCATCTCTTTTGCTTTTATCAAATTTCAAGGATACCCTTGTTTTTTTAGAATAACACTGGCATTCCTTGTTAGACTTTGCCTCCCAATAGCGTTAACGGGATGATTCCAACACCCTCACATCTCTCAGTTTCTTTTCCCTCTATATCTCTCCCTAGATCCTGCAATCCTGCTTGCCGCCTGGCACCCACCCCCACCCCCACTTTTCTCCCCCGCTCCTACCCCAGATCTCCTTCTTTTCTCTCCCCCTCTTTTCTTCTCTCCCCAAAGTAGAATAAGAAGGATGAATCACTCTCTTTGGAACTCTCTTTCTCTCTCTCTCTCTCTTCAGTTTATGTATCTCTTTTTTGTGGTGATGGAGATACGGTGATGGCTTGACTGAGGTAATTGGGTACTTTGTGCAAAAGATAGTTAGTGTCAGTAGTTTCAGAGTTTGACCCTACTAGTTGACTAACAGGGAGTATTTTATGAAAAATAAAACCCAAATCAGAAGGGTGTAGTGTTATTTCCGAAATGTCAGGGATACCCTTTGAAATTTTGATAAACCATGAGGGTGTCAGTGTAATTTGTCCTTTTCTTTTTGACCATTGGCAGTTTACTCTTCAGCTTCCGGCACACCATCATTTCTTTTACTGGTCATTTTGTTTATGAGTTTGTCAAGGCAGCGTCAACCATCTTAGATGCTTTGAATCATAAGTTTGAAAACTCATGTTAGTTAGACTGCCATACCTTGCTTTTAGGGCCTGTAATGGATAACTCTGACTATGTTGTGTAAACCGTAAACTAAACACAACTAACCAAAGCCTTGTTACAATTGTTTTGCATATATGGGTTCTAGTGATTTCCATTTTGGTGCAAGTATATGCCACTTGGTATATGAACATGTAATGTAATTAACAATTCCAGGCAGGTGTAACTATATCAAAAGAGGATAACTATCAACTTGGAGAAAAGTGCCTAAATTTTTTAAACTTAACACAATTGTGATGTGACAATGTAATAGTGAACCATCACAGAGTATGCACTTATTCATTTCTGTCAAATATTACAGCTTATTCATCCTTTTACTTGTATATAGCAGCTCTGTTTATGTGTTCTTGGCAAAGTATATATTTCCTGTCACTCTTTTATCAATCACATCATGCTAGAGTCCAAACCTTGAAAGCATGTTTCTTTCAACTTGTGCGCAATGGCCTTATCTTGTCAATGTACAGCTTGTGGAAGTTATAGATCACTTTCTTGTGTTGTACGTTAGTTTGAGTGGAAACTTGAATAATTGTATATTATGGTTTAGGAAAATAAAGAAAGAGAAAGGCGACAGGAAGAAAGAGATTATGAAACAATATTGTGTGTAGTGTGTATGTTGCCAACACCCTATCATCTATTTATATTTAATTAATATTGAAGACAATTACAATATTAGGAATAGAATAATAGTAGAGTAACATAATAGGAAAGTAACACTCTTAACAATTTGCGTTCTAAGTATTTGATGCACATTTCTTGCTTCTTGTTTCTCGAAAAGTGCGTATGTTAACAGCATTGTTAATGCATTTTATGTGGAAAATTTTCAATGGCAGAGGTTTTGATGACGAAATGAGAACACTGGTTGCAAGAAACCTGGAAGGCAGGGGAATTAATTTGCACCCACGGACATCCTTGACAGAGGTACTTTTGTATCATTTGATGTTATGGGATTCATGTATTCTGAATTAAAGGGTTTATTGTTTGCCATTCCATTGATAACGAGTTTCTCTATTCCCTGAAGCATTTTTTTAATGATGAGATTGGTTATTCAGCTGGTTAAAACAGAAGATGGCATAAAAGCTGTCACTGACCATGGTGAAGAATTGGTGGCTGATGTTGTACTATTTGCCACTGGTAATTCCAAGACCTGTTCTATTTGTATTGCATAGAAGTAATGCGTTAACGCTTGCATCAAATATGGAGATTGCTTGCATTGGTTGTTAACTTATCTGATCAAGAGAGTTTTATGTCAAAGTATATTACTACTGATAACCTGGTGGCATTTTCTGTCTTCTATTGGCTAATGTGCATTATTACCCACTTGATAAAGCTAACTATCACGTTGTTGCTCAGCAGGCTAACATATCTAAACGTTAGATACATGAAATAGCATAATATTAAGAATTAGATTTAATTTGCTCTCCTTTTTTACTTAGCGAGTAACTTAGACTCGTTTTGATCTCTATTTTTTGTGATAATAGCAACGGAGTACATTTTATCTTGTCTTATAGTTCTGGATTTTTATTTTGGTTTGTTAACTTCTCTGCTGAATGATCTGGAAAAATATCATGATAACTTTATAGATGCTGTTGCGTTTGCATAAGGGATTTTAAATTTCTATTTCTTCTTTTCCCGGTCTATTCTATGATGAGAATTGCAGGATTCTGAATTATTGTGAATTTGACAAACTCGTGGGTTGGAAAGGTGCTTGCAGTTAGTGTTTGATGCTCATTGCTTTAGTTACCATTCTTTTTGCAAACAAAAAAATAAATAAAATTGTGTTAGAAACATTAAATATGGACTTATCTTTGATCGTTTTACTTTACACCTACATTGGTTTCTTCATTAAAACTGTTTCTGCAACATCTTCAATATCTATATCTCTACAAGAAGATAAAATGGAGATATCTTGAATTCATTTAGTCAAATCATGTGGAACTATGGAGAAAGCAAATATTATTGAGTTCTAGCCTCTGACTAAGTCCTTTACTGTGGGTGGGAAAATCTTGCAGCTTGTGCTATTGATTCATTGAATTATAACCTGTCTAAATTTGCTTCTTTTTTTTTTCCCTAGATTGAAACAAGCCGAATATATTAATTTAAAAGTAGTAAATCACAATATATACAATGGTGGACAGGATATCCAACCTAAAATAAAAAACAGAAAACAAACAATACATAAAATCTATGAATCACATAAAGCATTCCAATCCGTAACTTTGCTAAAAAGGTGGAATTCCCTTACAATCCTTGGTAACTGAAGCCCAAAACACTGCTAAAAAGTGAATGCCATCCCATAAGCCTTCAACCAACTCACATCAGTTTTCAAATATTCTAGCATTCCTGTGTTTCCAAATTACCCAAACAGTAGCAAAGATTGCAAATTTTACAGAGTCACCCCTTTATTATTTCTCCCAAAAACCCCATAAATACCCCAACAAACAAAGAAAGCAATGACCAGGAATCACCCACCTTGCGATAACTGCAAGGCAATGCAAGAGTAAATGGTGGACGCTTTCAATGTCTAGATTTGCTTTGTGAAGCTTATGAGAAATTATTTATGGTTGGTTTCAAATCTTTACCATTCCGTGGACAGTAATATTCTTTTTAATTGTTAGAAAAGCTTTGACTTTATTTTTTGAGTTCTGATGATTTCTTTGTGATGCGTAGGCACATTAATTCTAATCTAAGGATATTAATAATTTTCTCTGTCTTCCTCTTTTTTCCTGGTTTAGTTTATCATTTTAACAGTCTTTTATAATTGGTTGCAGGTCGGGCTCCTAACACAAAGAGGCTAAATTTGGATGCTGTAGGTGTTGAGCTTGACAGGGCAGGAGCTGTGAAGGTAGCTTTTTCTTTAGCATTTTCGGGATTGGTATCTGTTGAATGATCTGCAAAAATCTAGGAAGTGTCCAAAACGTGAACAAGGGAAAATGGGAATCGAGAATAGTTACTAGGGTGTCAAGTTCTAAACTATGTCATCCATATTTAATAGAAAAAAAATCTATACAACAGAATTTATTTTGTTAATGGATGTCTAACTCATTTCCTGACATCATAATAAAGTGGTTGACTCGCTTTGCTCTCCAACTCGTCTGCATCTTGGTTGGCAGGCGGTGATTGATGAGTTGGCTTTTGAACTCAATGCATTTTTCCCTCCATAATTCTTGCTTTTCCTTAGTATTCCTTTTTTGCGTGTATATTGGATTTCCGAACTTCCACTTGAAATTCCAGCGTCACTTTTATTTGAAGTTGACATGCTTGTCCATTGAAAATTTTCAACATATTGGTGCATCCTCTTGAGTGTTCCTGAAAATATTCTTCTAAAATCCGTGCTTTTCTTGTTTCCATTAGTTTTTACTGAAACTGCAGCCATGTTGGTTCAATAGCAGCTCTTAGTGGTTTATCCCATGTCACATATATCTATTTGGTTTACTTGGATTTTGTTGGCATGTTACCTGTAATTTTTGGTGTTTCCCGTTCTTTGTTCATCATCTGGCTTCATTTTAAGAGCCATCTATTGGCGATTTTTACCTGTTGGCTAGTCTTTCCAAGTCAAGCTGTGTATTAACTCTAAAGGAGAAGGTACAACAGATTTATGCACAGGCCTATGTAGTTGTTGGTTCTCGATTAAGTTGCCCAAAGCACAAGCTTTTCTTCTTGTTTCTCCATTAAGCTGTGTAAAGCACAAGATGATTTTCTGATTCAACCAGCAACTGACATTGAAGGAGGGACTGCAGATTCCGCAAATGCCGATGTATTCTCATTCCTTCAAATCTCTCTTATTTAATGGTTCATCTAGTGATGATTTTTAGTAGTCGTTGGCTACTCTTTCTAAGTCGAGCTGTGTATTGACTTTGAGATGGAGATTATTCCTATTCTTGTATTGTTAGGCCATGTTTGGGTTTCTATACCTTGTCCGAGAGTATCTTGTTAAGTTCTTATTTGGGTTCTCTTATCGTTATTTTATTGTTTGTCCATTGCGATATAAATTTATTATCCTCCTTTATTTGCGGATAATATTGTATTAGTTGATGAAAGTAAAGACGAAATTAATAATAAATTAAAAATATGACTAGAAGCTCTGGAATAAAAAATATTCAGGATAACTAGGACTAAAATTGAATATATAAAATGCAACTCTGGTGAAAGGAGGAATCGCAACTGAGATGTAGTAAAAATTGAAAATTAAGAGGTACCGAGGAGTGAATACTTTAATTATTTAGGGTCTATTATTCGAGCGTGAGATTGGTGACGATGTTACCTACAGAATTAATGCAGGATAGATTAAATGAAGAAAGCGTCTGGTGTATTGTGTGATAGATGCATATGCTTTAAGTTAAAAGAAAGGTTCTATACAAATACAACGGCCATAAAACCCGCTATGCTTTATCCTACTATTAGAATTAGGAGTGGGTATATCCCCAAAAAGTAAAGGTAGCACATATAGGAGATAAATTAAAGAAGAATCGACTTAAGTGGTTTGGACATATTTATAGATGGCCTACTATGGCACAGGTAAGAAAGAGTGATATGATAGTTATTGACGGCAAGTGTAAGGGTAGACAGGGGCGGAGTTAGAAATTTTGCTTAGGATGGACACTTTAATTATGCACTATAATTTTTTTTCATAATCAATTACGCTATATAATATATTTATATTTATTATATCATATTTGATACATGAATTCCATTTAACATAAAAAAATGCCAAAAAAATCATGCATGCATATTGTATATATATGTACAAAAAATGACTAATTATCACTATCGTAAAAAATGGAACTAATTGTCGTTTTTGTAATTAAGAAATATCAGTTATTCACTAATAATCTATTAAATTTATTCAATAAATGATGTTCCAAACACACTGAGATATTAACATAGTAAAACTATTAAATTAAAATTTAAGAGCTAAACATATTAAAAAAATTTAAAATCGATTGACACATAGCAAATACTATAATCAATATTTGAATAAAATAAAAACGTGATTAAGTTTTAATTTTTTGTACGATATTCAGATTTTAACAATATGGGCTAAATTTTTTTTTGTTTTATGTGGGCTTGGTTTTTTAATTTTTTTTGGGTGGAGGTGGTGAGCTTAGTATTTTTGTCTTTAGTTTTAGGGGGCACAAGTAATACATTATACAAATATATAATATATATATATATCTAGGTAATAAAAAAAAAAGGAATTTCTGAGGGGGGCACTTGCCCACCCTGGACTATACATAGCTCCGTCCATGGGGTTAGATGAAGACTAATATTAACTTTAGAAGAACTAGTAAAAAAAGATATAATAGCTTATGCTTTAACATAATGGCGAAAGAGGATTGATGTAGTAGACTCAAAAAATGTTGGGACAAGGCTATGTTATGTTGAGTCGAGCTCATGTTGCCACTAGGCAGTTTGCGATATTGTTTGCGTCATCACAAGTTTTATGTATGTTGGGGCTTTTTTTTTTATCATCTCTTACAGGTTGACGAGTACTCACGCACCAGCATACCTAGCATATGGGCCATTGGTGATGTTACAAATCGCATAAATCTCACTCCTGTGGCCTTAATGGAAGGGACCTGTTTCGCAGTATGTGTTCCTACTGGACCTTCTTCAACCATCATTGTTGAGATTCTATTGCTTGTGTTATTATTGATTGATATCTTCTGTTTGGCCAGTTATGTAATTAGTTTGTTCATGTTCATTCATTTTTTTGGCATTGCCTGCCTGCAGAAAACTGTTTTTGGTGGAGAGCCTAGCAAACCGGACTATAGTAACGTACCTTGTGCCGTGTTCTGGTACCAGCTCTCTTTTTCTTACACAGTTTCTCTATTGCCTTTTCTTTTGTTATTGAAACCATGTCAGATTCATCATCTGGTGAAGGTGCTTATGTGAAATACTCTTCATTTTTTCTTTGTGATTAGTAAACCGAAATATTCTTCGTCCACTGCAATCTGTTTTTGGTGGGACGACTACTCAGTTTATATCCCTTGCTGGAATAAGATCCCATCCATTGTCAGTGCTTGTGTAACTCTAGTAGTGTTGACTTTTAAGGTGGACAATTCATTAAGTATATTTGAAAAAATTTTAAATGGACATATATTACTGAAGTTTGTCATTTTAGTGTAGTAGCTTTCACACATATACACAACATAGAGACACTGAAAGATTTCTCGTAACCTTTCTCCCAGTGGTGGACTGTGTTGCATGGATCAGTTTACTGTGGTTCCATTTAACCTATGGTTTTGTGGGACTGGCTTGCCTTTTTCTCTTGGGTGATTTGTGACTCTGAGGAAACTCCACCCCGCGTCAGATTTTTTTCCGTTTTCCATTTATTTTCTTTTTTGAATGGAACTTTTGTTTGTTTTTTTTTCTTTTTAGTTTCTTTGTTAATTTTTTAGCTTTTGAACCCCGACTTTCGGATTTAACCTCATTTGGTGTTTACTTGAGGTTTTTCGTACCTTTGTCTTAAGCAAGTCCTTTAGAGGGCTTAGTTGACTCACCAATTTTTGTATTTCGCTTAATATTTGTTTGTTTAAAGAAAAATGTCTGTCAATTATGATTCTCTTTTGTTCTCTTGATTCTTTTCTAGTTGAGATGCATGAATCCATATGTGTCTAAATAAAACTTTTCTTGGATTTAAAAAAGTGCGTACCACTCCCTTTAGCAGTGTCCACAAATTTGGAAAGAGGTTTGAAAGCCATATTTTATTTGGGATGTTTCTGGGAAACCATCATAGCCAGGGGTGGAGTTAGGATTATGTCCTAGTGGGGGCAAAAACATGAATACAAAATAGAACCAGCTAGTTTTTAAAAAAAAATTTCTGCATATCAATTAATAAGGACTAAATTACGTGCAGATTTCACACAAAATTCCTAAGTTCACACTATGGGAAATATGTTAAGATCAAAGACTAAATGAAAATTAAAATAAAAATTAATTCAACAGACAATGAAATATTTAATTATTTTAGTAGATTAAGAGATGAGTGAACTACTAACTTACTAAATTAAAATTTTCCAGAAAATTAAGGGTGGCAATGAGATAAATTGGTCATAGTTTTGTTGCCATAACAGTGTATATTTGGTAATCCCTCAAAAGTAACTTGCCCCCACACCTACACACGTAACTCCACTCTTGATCATAACCAATGAATGGGTACTGCCATTTTGTGGATCCTTTTTCTTTGGGAACTTTATGACTTGGTCTGCTTTAGTGTCTTTCTTTTACATTATAGTTGAATCTTCATGGCTAATAGACAATTAAATAAACCACTACCTTATTTTCTGTTTTCATTTACATTTTACCCCCATTTTTGGACTTTGGAGTATGGATGACTAGCATGTTACAGACCTTTTACTGTAGCACCTTGACATGACATGATCAGCGTGTTGGTTCAGGAATTAATCTTTCCTTTTGACCACTGCTGTGGTGGCGGAGTAGCAGTACATTTGAAACCTGAAATTAATTTAATGGTTGAAAGGGATTAAAGTTGTGCGGCCTGTTTATTTTCATTAGGATTGTCATACAGTGATAATATTTCTAAGATTTGCCATTCATTTATTTTTTGGATTGACTATTTACAGTGTAATTTGATTATTCAATACTGTATTCTGTTGTGTGTTTAGGAGACGTATCTTTGTGATCCTTCGCTAGTTGATAAATTGAGGAAATTTTGAATAAGAACTCTAGAATATTTTTTTTGGGTAAATAGGAGCTCTAGAATTTTATTCTGCTCTTGCTTGAAAATTATTGACATTTGTGTTAAACTCACATAAATGGTATGATCTAAATGTTTATAATTGACTGAGGTGGGCTATAGTCAATACAGTTTCAGTCAAGAAAGGATGCTTCCTGGATGCATTTCAGTAATTGCTGTGACACCTGACCCTCTGATTCCTTGACCTTTCTGACAGTTAAAAAACATAAATTTTGCTTCTGTAAGATCATAATGGAAATCAATTCTTCTATTTACTTTTTTAGACAAGTAAAATATTCGATGTTTTCATGCTTGTTTAATAATGCATCTTCACATGTTTTCCACCAAAAATAACGACCAATTTAGTCCCATTAATAGGGCTCTGGGTGGGTTGATTAGTACAAACCTAGCGGCTGACACTATTTACACATTGTTCTACTAATTTGTTTATTTGCTCTTTTCAGAGTTTTTTCCTTCCCTTTTCTTTGGTGTGTGTGTATGTGTGCTGGTATTTATTTAATTTTTTTATTTTTTATTTTTTATTTTTTTTTTGGTGGGGGGGATTAGGAAGAGGGTGTGCAAGTGATTATCAATAGAACTCTTTTGAAAGAATCTAGTTGATTATGAATATCTGTCATTGCCATACCAAACTGCATGCAAGTATTTTTTTGTGCATTTGTCGAACATTGAATACATTTGCTACTAAAATTGAAAAAGGTAAAATCAATTGTGGTCAAAAGGGTCATTACCAATGTGTCCCCATTGATTCGAGTGCTGCTAGGATGAACTGGATGAAAATCAAATATTTGTAGTTAAAAAGTGGCTATTTTCAGATTCGGCCCCCACTCTCATAGTTGCGAACCCGATTGAATTTGGTGTGCTGTTGAGGATAATATTTGGTTTGTGGGGAGGTGTACTTCATGTCATCTATTTTGGTCATGCCATGATCCTTGCATCATGTCCCACATCGACTCCTTGTGTTTGTATCAATTTTATTATGTCATATTGAGGAATATCATTCATATTGTTTGTATGCACGTGATGTTAAGTGTTTGTATGCACGTGATGTTAAGGTCGAGAGTACATTTATCACTATATATTGATTTTCTTATTTTCACTCTTATGCTGCACATGAAATCTGAAGATGTATTTTTTCCGGCTAATGTAGCACCTCTGAATTTTTTTTCATTTTGCAGTTGTTTGTGAAATGATTAATCTTTATCTTCTGTTGCTTCTCAGCATACCACCTCTTTCTGTAGTTGGACTAAGCGAAGAAGAGGCTATAGCGCAAGCAAAGGGTGATATCTTGGTTTTTACATCAACATTTAATCCTATGAAGAACACCATTTCAGGGTATGTGATTGGGCATCAATCTTATTTTCCTAGTTTAGAAATGAAACATAAAATCATGGATTCTAAAATTTCTTTACCTGGTTGCTTGGGAGAATAAATTACTATAGAAAGTTGCCAGACATGTAGACTATGCTTAAGCTACAACAGGCAGATGATGGTTATAATGATTTAGAGCTATATATATCAGCATATTAGAGCATTTTGGTTGAGTTTTATGCATGAGCTGGTTTCTCTTGAAAACATATTGACAATTGTTGTACGCTTTTGTCAATCATTTGCTAGCCTGATTAACACATGCAGTTCCCGTAGATTGGTAGAACATCTTTAAGCATGTCTAATCAGTCAAATATTGTGTGAAATTTTATATTGTGCCTATAGACGGCAAGAGAAGACGGGTATGAAGCTTATTGTTGATGCTGAAACGGATAAAGTTCTTGGTGCATCCATGTGTGGGCCAGATGCAGCTGAGATTATGCAGGTATCGTTTCTTGCACTATACATTCTTGTATAAGGTTTATTGATTCACTTAAATCTAGGTTTTTGCATTAATGGTTTCCTCTATAATGTTAAACTGGATTGTTTCTACATCAGTCATTGATTCAGCTAATTCTAGGTTTGCATTAATGGTTTCCTCTATAATGTTACACTGGGTTGTTTTTACATCAGTCATTCAAAATGATTCTACAGATTATAGCTCTCAACTTTCTGAAAAATCAGAAAGATTATTGAACATATTGGGCATGTGGTTCACTTAATTGGTTTTCTAGTTCCTACGACTTCCGGATGAATGTTCTGGCCTCTAGAGAAAGTTATCATAAGCTCTCATATATACATAGGAAGATCTTCTGAATCTTTGTTTAACCCTATGGATCAATTTTATCCAGGCCCTACATGTAAAGCAAATTTTTGTCTGTGAAATCTAAGGTTTCAGGGTTCATGTGCAGTGATTTTTTGATGGTTTAAATTAAAAGTTGAAAAACAAAAGCCTTTGTTCTGTGGGAAACATTGGAAAGAGACATAAAGAAGAAAAAGAAAGAGATCGTCTATAATCAATTTAACCACTTGTTATAGAGATATAGTTCTCAATTAAAGGGTTGAAGCCCACTCCCCCTCTCAAAAAAAATAAAAAATAAAAATAACATCTGATTAGAAAATTATTTTATAAACTAAACAATCTTACCACATTGTTTAGAAAAATAATGACAGTTGAAATGTCATTGAAAGAGGCCTACAAACAATTGTGTAGTGGTTTGATAAAACTCACATTCTGCTATAAAATTCATGCCATTGATGGATCAAGTAAAACTAGCCAGGTTATGGTTACTGTATGCTCACTGCTCAACCATTGGTAATGAGGACCACCATTTTTTGATAGCTTGTTGCTGCTAACTTGGGTGTGGAGTATCAATTTTTGGTGTTTTTATATACATTACCTTATTGTATCGGGGATGGCTTTAACAGGGTATTGGCATTGCACTCAAGTGTGGAGCAACCAAAGCACAATTTGACAGCACGGTAAGCTGGACTCGACTCACCAGAACTATATAGCCTTGATAGCTCATATCACTAGCTTTTATCTTCGATATTTCAACTACCCATGTAAGAGTTTGTAAATAGCATCACAGCAGCTTTATGGTTGCTGACTGCTACAAATGTTGTTTGGAGTTCTGCTATACAAAAGGGGTTGTGACAAATGTTTTTCCCACTCCCTATTAGTGGTCTGTATGTTCAGATGAAGTCAGGCTACTCTTTATATGTTTCCATTGGAGGAATGCTACCTCGTATATTTAGGATGCCAGAGTATAAATTAGTTTGAAATCAGTTCTTCCAGTTTCATTTGTAATCATCTCTTTATTGTGCTTATTGTATCGTAGACTACTCCAAACTTACTGGGAGAAGAAGTGTGTGTAACAATCTTTAACTTATTTTCATACCTTCAGTAATTTCTCTTGTTTTATTGTGTTGTGTTGCTGAATAATTTTTACTTCTATCCCAGGTGGGTATTCACCCTTCTGCTGCAGAAGAATTTGTGACAATGAGGTCAGTGACTAGGCGTATCGCTGTTAGTAAACCAAAGACAAACCTCTAAAGAATTTGAAACAGGGTTAGGGATAAAGCATACCACATGGTTGGAAGTGGTACTTGGGTTCATGCAATTAGAAGGTTGAAAAGAGCAGACTTTGGTAGTAGGTTTAGCAGAATAAAAGATTTTTTTGTCCTCAAGAAACTGAAGCAGCTTTAATGTCAAACAATTGTGATTCTGAGGACAATATTGTTATTCAGTGCAATTGCATAAGACTAATGGAGTGATGGGAAAAAAAGGGAAATTGAAACATACATTGTTGGTTATATGAAATGGTCTGTGTTTTTGAATCTTTCCCCCCCTTTTATATTGTATATTTTCTTCCTCGAATAAGATTGGGGTTACTGGTAAGATAGTTGTATGTCTGAATAAATTGTGATTATTAAACAATGTTACATAAACTTAATTTACGGACCTTAATGAATCAGTGTCATTGGATTGATAGTGCATGATTATGAAGTTTTTCTCTATTAACCAAATCCACGGCATATTGGTTCGCGGAAAACCAACATTTGTTTAACTATGCAAATTGGTATGCTAAACCAAGAAATAACAAAAGCAAAACTAAATGTTTTCTTCAAACATTACCAATAAAACACCACTATGGTGTCAAAATTGAGTTATTCTATTTGAAGCTATAATGTCCCATTTATAGTTCTTGTTAACCAGTACTATTATTTTTTGGGCTTGAGTTAAGTAGTATAAGCAGTAGTGTAAAAGATTACTGTCCCTCTTTTGGCAATTGCATTTATAATACATATTCGCACGTATAAAAGTATATTATTTATGTACTCTGATGCATATAAACAAATGTCAACAAAACTATCGAATCGTACAAATATATTTTATTATTAGAATTCTGGGTATAGCTAAAAAATTCTAATATCAAACCACCAAATACACAATAACAGAATCAACTCCAACTCAAACTCTGAAAGTCCTAGCTCAAACTCCCAAGTCCCAAACTTACTTCCCCAACTCCCCCACATCCCAACACTCAAATCTCATCTACCATGAATTGTTGCTATGTGCCAGATGCCCCATTCACCCAGCCTTTTCAATACCACAAAACTTGGGAGAAGATGTCAAAATTTACTTGGGAAAATAGGGGAATCATGGATCTACAACCATATAATATCACTGCTAGCAAAAGGTTGGTGACAAGCTGGACCTCTTTTTGGCAGTTCAATGATCTAACAAGGAACAATTAGAGTCATAACTTGACCTTAATTCCACCAAGTCATTAGAAGCAAATTGGCAATCTACTTTCTGTGAATTGAACTCAAGTAATCATTAGCAGGACGATTCTTACGGGATGGTATCTTCCCACTGGACTACTAAACTCGTGATTTAGTTGAACAGTCTTGAAGACGTCACTATGGCCAGAGGAAGGCCAAAAAATTAACATGGGCCGAATCAATGAGAAAAAATGGACATGATAAGCTGTTATTTAATAATGGACATAGTCAAAGATATTGCAAAATTACAAAACTGAGTTGTGTAGGTGTACTAACATTCGGGGGAAACTCTACGACCCCCCAAAATTTTTTTTTTGTATGGTACCATCGGTTATTATTTTCTATAGTAAAATTATAATTTTGAAAAGAAGAGTTACAACGGCTGAAGGGAAGTCATAATCGATCACAAATACCCATGATCGATCATGAAAAGCACAATATCAATTCCAATATTTTATGGTTTCTTATTTTTGAATATTTTTCAGCAAATTAGGGTGTATTTTCTAGATCTGTTGTTTTGGGACTTTTTTGGCTGGATTGTTGCTTGGATTTGGTTCCAGGGGTGCCTTCTTTGGTTGATTTGGATGTGTTTTTCAAAAAAATTGAGTGCCGATGATGCCTATGTTTGGCCTACGACTGGGTTTTACTTGCTCCATACATGTGCGATTTGCTCCAGCTATGATCATCCAACATCTATTTTTTGATAGCACTAGTTTGATCTGTGTGTGTTAATCTGCTCCAAATTGTTACAGTTCTATTCTATTTTGGCCTACGACACTACCTCTATTCTTGATCTGTCCATCCCGCAATTGTTTTTAGTGTTTCTTGGCCTTTATATTGCTCTTTTGAGGTTTGGTTGTGTGATGTTGTTATGACTTGCATATCAAACTGATTTTTTTTTGGAAAATTCCTTGACTTTATTGTGGTTATTTTGTGTGATTGCGGTTGTTGAGAATTATTGGTTCCTTATTCTCAATTATCCCCTAATTGATTTGGGGTTTTACTATGGCAACTTCGGAGGATGTCATTTATACTTCTGCTGATGACCAGGTTAAACAGGTTCATTCCATGGACACAATTATGGGCCCATGTCATTAAGGATTTCTTGCATGTCAAAAGAAAAGTTAAGTATTTAACTGAGAGTTCTCTTCATAAGGACTTTAAGATTTTGGAAGATTGGTGGAGTGAAAATTCATTAGTGATAACTTGGTTATGGATTAGTATGGAGCCTGTTGTTAGTTCTAATGTTCAGTTTCCTGATACAACTAAGAAGATATGAGACTTTCTATAAAACTCGGATAAATTTAAATTTTTATGAAAAAGGATAAAATGGTAATTTGTCATCACAGTAAGGGTTGAAAACCCAAATTTTTTAAAACTCAAATAACGAAATGGACCTCACCGTTAATTCGTCTCTTGAAATCTAGTTATCTAGTCAATTTTCGTTAAATTTCAAGACAATCAAATTTTTTGCGTCTTACGAGACGATCGGGTATCGCGTGACCTAAATAAATAAGATCGGAAATTAAATTTAAAAAATTAAAAAATCATTTAAATTTAGTTCAAATAAAAATATTTTGAACTTGAATCAAGGCGAAATTTAATTGATTAGGGACAAAACCGGACCTGAGAAAGGAGAAAGTGTGGCGCAACGTGGGCCAAGTGTCCTCGGCGTATAAATATGGGAGAAAATCAGATTTTTCCCCTATTGTTCAACTGGGTTTAACCGTTGAAGAGGAAGAGAGGGAAAAATATATGATTCTCAACTTCTTTCTACGATCTACGACTCTACGTTTGTCGAATCGACTCGGCCAAAAATAAAGGTTGTTTTACACGACGAGTGCTACAAAACCATACCAAAAAGCACAGATTTTGACGAAGTTCAAAAGACAGGATTTGGAGAAATCAAGAACTAAGGCTTGATTTGGGTTCTTGAAGGCTTCTACCATGTGTTTTACAGTTCAAGAGGTAGGATTTCTTTCCTAATTAAGTTTATTTCCAGCCTAGGGTTGATATATGAAATGGATAGAGTGTTAGAGATATAATCTCATGTATAACACATACCTATGGTATTTTAAATATGAGAAATGGGTATTAAGAATGGTTAAAATTAATTCTAACATGAATTGAGTATGAAGAAATTGCTTGTTGTGATTTCTTGAGAAATGTGATGATTTGGGGCATGTTATGTGATACATGATTTTCTTGCCTTGAAGGTGTTTGATTAAATGCCAATGTGGATTAAGTGTGTTATTTGTATTGATTATGTAATAACATGCTTGAAATTTGATGTTGGTAGATGTTAGTATATGCATATGATATATTGACATTGAGGTTGTTGATGATATTGAAATGTTCATAATGTGCTCATGACTTATTGAACATGGTTGAGAATTACAATTGTACATTTATATTGCATATGCATGGGTAGCATCATATTCATTGACATTTAACATGAGTGGGGTATGTGTGCATATTTTTTAATCAAATACCATTCTTGGTGGTTGAGGCATGAACTCGGGAAGATTGGACCTAGGTTCGGTTAAGTTGCACAGTTGCATGAAAAATTTGTGTCGGATATAGCAAACAGGGCTAGATTCTCTCTCGGGTGCAAGACCCGGTTACTGGTTTATACACTTTCGCTGGTGAAAGTCTAAAAAAATGTATCCATGTGCGGAATCGGCGGTGAGACACCAAAATTCCGCTACCCAACAAAGACACATGATTTATTTTAAAAAAATCATTGGATGTGTAACATCAATGGCGAGGGCTTAGAATGCTCGGATTCATACGCATGACATTGCATGAGTTATGGGAGCCGGTAAAGGTTCAGGTTGAGTTGCATGTGTGAGTCTCACCTCATATCATTACACGATATAAAAGGATTCCATTGTTGAATTGCATATTCTTGAATGAAGTAATTATTGCTTTTGATTTACATGTGAACATTTCATATGCATCTAGGTTGAGAAGTAGTCTCTTTAGGAGATACCTTATTGAGCGTAATTCATCCTTTTTGGGGACAACATTTTATGTGCGGGACATGCGTCAGTGGACGACTTTCACTCTGGGCCTTATTGTTTGAAGAAAAGCCGAAATATGGCTTTTAAATCATGTTTTGTAAAACTAAGACGTAAATTTAGTTTTTGGGCTTGTAATATTATGCAAAGAATTGTAAAAGAACTCCGTAGAACCTTTATTTCCATAACCCAATAGAATGATAAGAAACCTGCCGGTAGAACATGGACATCTTCTACCTGTAGGTTTTC